GATTGACACCCCCCCCGGATGGCAGCCTGTGGCAAGTGCAGCCGGGCTGATGGCCGAGTGCTGTGATGTGCCGAGTGTGGGCACTCCAAGACAGGACTGCTTTGCTGTCCCTCATCGAGGTAAACAAGCAAGCGGGGAACCCTGAGAACTGTCTGTCCGGGGTGGGGGTCGGGTCCCTTTAAACACAGCCCTTGGCTAGCCTGAGGCAGCAGCCCCACACACTAAGTCCTAACCTGATGCCCTGCCGGCACTTGTTCCGGCCAGCCTTAACTTTGGTTCAGGGTCCACTCAATGTGGACATGCTAGTTCGAATTAGCAAAACACTAATTCAAATTAGTTTTTAGGTCTAGATGCACTAGTTTGAATTAACTAATTCGAATTGTTAGTTCGAATTAGTGCTGTAGTGTAGACATACTCAAGAGGACCTAGTCTTAGCAGAGCACCTTTAATCTACAGCCACACAATGTTTCACAAAAAGGAGTAAGTATAAGCATACTTCTTAAAAAGATAAACTGAGGCTTGCCCAAAATCACAGGAAATCAACAGTAGAACTAGAACTAGAATCCAAATGTTGCCAAAAGATGTTGCTAGAATTGGAGCGCCATTGATAGAGTCACCAGTGAATGGAATGAAGAATGGCAATAAGACCTAGCAGAATAATCATGAATGAAAGAATCCGTTTTCAGATATCTCCTTCAAGTATATAAGAAATACCTGAGTTTCAGGATCAGTTTCTAGTAGCCATAAGGATGGTACGGTGCTAATCAGATAAAAAAATATTGCTGGAGAAAACCTGTGAAGAAAAAGAAAAGATAGCTCAGTTTACAACACTGTATGAGCACCACATGTATTCTACAGTTTTCTGAGGGGAACATTCAGAATGTTACTTTCCATTGGAACTGCATTTAACAAGTGTTTTGTCAGTTCTGCCATATGGAATATAAAGGAGAGGGGTAACTGCAACTAACACTTTCACAGCTGCCATTCTCACTGAATTCCTAATGCAATCAATCTATGCAAGTTTGAGTTTACTAGTAAACTTCTCAAAGACCATCTATTTAGCTTTGTTTAAAAACCTTTTTCAAAACAAAACGTATTTTGCCTGCTCAGTTCTGTGTGGAAGAGGATATATAAAAATATCCTGCGGAAGGCCCTGTTTCTGAACTCACAGTAAGTCAGGAGCCGCCCCACAGCTACACAGATGTAAAAGTCATTTAAGATCAGAATCCATGTGTAAATACAAGGGTTGAAGCATCCTGAACCAAAACAAATGTTTCCTCCCCCAGGGATCCTTCAACATGAACTGAAACTGTTTATAGAGATACTAGCCCAATATGCACATCATTAATACTGGAAGCTTTATAACCTTGTCTGTTGTGGATCTTTCTGCTTTATCTTTCACTTAGGCCGTGTCCAGACTCAGGGGTTCTTTCGAAAAAAGTACCCTTTTTTCGAAAGAACTTCCCCTGCGTCCAGACTCAAGCCGCATTCTTTCGAAAGTAAAGCGAAAGAATGCGGCTTTTCTTTCGACGGCTGTACACCTAATTTTACGAGGAAGAACACCTTTTTCGAGGGAGATCCGTCGAAAGAACGTGAGTGTGGACGGGGGGAGCCCTTTCTTTCGAAAGAATTGGCCTCCAGGAAGAAGCCCTGGTGGACAATCTGGGCCATTGGTTGCACGTCTGTGGTTCCTGGCTGCAGCCATTCCTTAAAGGGACAGGCACCCTCACAGCCACTTGTTGCAGAGAAGGAGCCAGAGCACACGGC